AGTTCGAGATCGATAAGACACTGAACATCAGATCACCCGATGATGTCCACCGAATGGGTATCAAAGCCTATAACGACGAGTGCCGGAAGATTGTGATGAGATATGCGGGTGAGTGGCGGACAGTCGTCACCCGAATGGGCCGTTGGATTGACTTCGACAACGACTACAAGACACTGTACCCGACATACATGGAGTCCGTGTGGTGGGTGTTCCGGGAGCTCCATAATAAGGGTTTGGTGTATAAGGGCGTGAAAGTGATGCCCTACTCGAGCGCCTGCAACACTCCGCTCTCTAACTTCGAGTCCGGACAGAACTATAAGGAAGTGGTGGACCCGGCGGTCATAGTGTCGTTCCCGTTGGACGAGACGCCCGATGTTTCACTCATTGCGTGGACGACCACACCGTGGACTCTGCCGTCCAATCTGTCGCTCTGTGTCCACCCGGATATGGATTACGTGAAAGTGAGGGACCGGAAGCTCAACGCCTTATTTGTGTTAATGGAGGCCCGACTCGAGTCGCTGTACAAAAAGGCCGACGAGTATGAAGTGTTGGACAGGTTTAAGGGCAAGACTTTGGACCATAAGGGGTATCAGCCGTTGTTTCCCTACTTTGCGCACCGAAAAGCTAACGGCGCGTTCATTGTATGCTGCGATACATACGTTACAGCCGATAGCGGAACGGGTGTCGTTCAGTGCGCCCCCTATTTCGGTGAAGACGACTACCGCGTGGCCCTAAATAACGGTGTGATTCGCAGGGATGGAGATATAGTCTGTCCACTCGATGCCAACTGTAAGTTTGTGGAGCCGGTGACAGACTTTGTGGGACAGTATGTGAAAGACACCGACAAAGAGATCATCAAACGCTTGAAATCGGCGGGACGTCTGGTGAACAGCAGTTCCGTTAAACACAGTTATCCTTACTGTTGGAGATCGGAAACTCCACTGATCTATAGGGCCGTCCCCTCGTGGTTCGTACGGGTGGAGCAAATGTCTCAGGCATTACTCGACTC